CAGCGATACGTATGTTTGATTCCTGTCAAACCCGCTTTTCTCCGCACTTTGAAGGAGCTAAGTATAAAATTTCAATAGAGAAGTTAGTGTCGTTCATAGTTCAAAGTGGTAACGTAGAATGGTAAATTTGCCTAAGCGTTTTTGTGGGTTCTCTTTATCGATAACAAACGGCTCGGCTAATCAATTACATTAGGCTTAAATAGTAAACATTATATTACAGAATCTTATGGGAACAGCTTCTTGATTTAAAGAGGGGACAAGTGACGCTGCCACACCCATGCTTAGGTCAGGCAAAAAGTAAACGAAATAATGATTTTGCCACAGCATCGATAACCGCGACTTTCAATGGCTGATCTTTACATAATCGCTGAATGTAATTAATTGTATAATTATAATATGTTCAGCAACGAATGAGACACATGACCTTGTCAGCGCATTCGATTCTGACTTAGTTTGACAGAGATCAGGTACCGTGATCAGACTCTCAAACAATGATCATTTCCAATGCTTACTCGTCCGTGTTATTTTTCTAGTGAACCATTTAAGCTTGAAGAGCTTAGACAATCACTATTCGACTCAAGTATAGCTCTCAAGTACCGTATGAACTCGTTTTCGCCACTTGTGAACATTTTCAGTGTTTCCTTAATGATCTATGCCTGTTCGAGGCAGCAAAATTTGCCACGCCAACATCAGCGACAACCAGAACAACAAGCACAAAATAGAATTTCGTTCGCCAACGGCATCAATAACAGCGGCCGCTGCAAATGATACAGAAAAAGCACGTCAACGAACAATTGTGACACTTGGCTACGTGGCATTTTTACTGTGTGAGAAATTTCGCACACCCCAGTATGTAGCAAGAGTAGCAGTTGTCATAGACGCAGGAGCAAGCGGCGCGTCCCTGCGTCCGGCGTCTGTTGCCGATCACTTAGGGCTGTTCCGTCCGTTTAGTTCCTCGCTTGTCTCGATCGTCACTCTCGCTTTGCATCCTCCATCGACAAACGGCACCAAAAGAGAATCTACTTCATGAAATCAAATCAAATATACTTCTGTTTCGCATGATTGTGTGCTGATCCTGATGCCGTTGTTGTCGGCGTCGTGTTGCTTGTGCTGCCGCCTTTGCCGCTATTATCGTCCAGCGCTACTGTTATTCTCGTCGGCGATAATATTATTGCCGTATAGATGACAAAATAGCGAAGATTTCTTCGTCACGACAAGCAGCGGGAACAGGGGGAAAACTGTATTTCGTTGGTCCAAAGCGTCTGCCGCCGTAGCGTTTGCCGCTAGCTTGACGCCTGCCGTTAGGGATTGCGTTTTTTCTTTTTTCGCCACGGCAACTTGTTCAAGTTATTGTCATTGTTGTTGTTGTATTATAAAATGCTGCGAAACGCTTTGCTCTTTGTGTCAAGGAGTTGGATATTAATGGTGGCACAGGCAATACGCTCATGTCGATGTTACCTCAGCAGTATTGTATGCGTTCTCATATTCGTTTTTGATTGGTGGCCACACCAGCCAGGCTGTTAAAGTTGGGCCTGTCTCAGGGGATTCAGATAACTTCGCGATTTGCTATCGCTGATATTGTTGCTGTTTGTTGAAACGGACGACATCGTGGCTCGACGTTAGGTATCGACCTCTCATATGAGAAACATCCGAAGTAAGTCAAATATGGACGACGATAGAAACGTTTGTTTGTGTATTGATGCTGGTATTCGTAGTGTATTATCAAGCTAATGGGTCCAACTAAGAATAGGTTGGTGCCAGGGAAAATTCGGTAATACAATAGTTAAATGCATATAAATTAATCATATAATGAGGTTGTCGTGCTCGTATAATGATTGCCAGCCATAAGTAGGCATAGGCATAGCACAATAGGCGTCGTCATGGTTGGATAGCTGAATTAGATATATATATACGACCTGTTTTTGACTAACAGGGCTGCCCGTAGGTAGCACAGCTCAGAGAGTTGCACCTTTTCGGGCTAAGGCAGCAATACGCTAAGCAAAATGGGCAAAACCGAATGTAGCTTGTTATTGCCGAGAAACTAACCAACATCGAATCAGACAATAATTTAAGGGTCATAATAGGACAATATAGAAAATGGTGTCGAACTTGTAATTCAGGCTCGTCCGTGCTAGTTGCTAGAAAATATAGTATATGCTGTTGTGCCCGAAATGTTCATGATTAAGACATATCACTGATATCGCACGCGTACACGACTATTTGCACAAAGGCGCTTCCTAGGTAAAGATAGTTATTCGGATGAGATAGAAAAGCTTGTAAAAAAATAAAAGTTCTGATAATAAAACTGTGAAGCCATTGATGAAGCCTAAGGGTCCATCTTGTTTTCGAACGAACTCACGCATTATGCAGAAAACCAAAGATTTAGCTGATTTTAGGTAGATACTTTTAATAAAGCAGGAACATTTAAAAAAAAAAGAAGCTATAAATTAAAATCGGCCCCGCTTATAGTCGCTTATATAATTTCTATCGATGTCCTTAATGTTAATGTTGATCGAACTAAATAATTTGTCTTTATTATTATAAGTCCAGCCCAATTTTACCACGAGAGAGGACCGCCCTTCATTCGTTAGTTTCTGCTTTGGAAATGACCCGTCCCTTGCAACGATGAAAGCTTACACTAACTTCTTCCTAATATTAATTAGGTGACAACGTGGTCTGTCCTCCTACATTATGGAAACCTCTATGCTGTTCGCAAGACTGGACTGTCCTGGAAGTTTATCAGAGGTCACCTTTGGTTCTTTTCGAAACTCAGGCTTTATGCTTGACGTATCGGCTTGGGGTCACCAGGTACGCTCTCCTGTTCGTGTTGAAGTCACATGGCTATTCTATGCTAACCTCTGCTTTTGCCCCGGGCACTTAACATCTATTCGTAAACCAGTATGTAATTGCATTCATAACAGTAAGACAAGCCGGCCTACCTGACCATTACGCACGGCCACATTGATAATGTTTCAACAGCTTCAACAGGAGCGAAGGGAAAAGATGGTTTCCTTCAGCTCTAAGTCCCTATGCCGTTCTGGTAACCCCTAACGAACCGCACCTTTTTGACTCCTGTTGCCCCGCCAGGATCTTTCCCTACCTTTTGGATTCGTCTTCTCTCTAGTTATTAGGGGCAGCCGTGACTTTGCCCTTCGACGCACAGCAGCAGACGCCGCGTGCGTGCGTGCGTGCGTGCGCGTTACTGTAATACATGTATGCTAGCCCAAACTTGGAAAGCTGTTTGCAACACGCGCTTGCCTGCCAGTTCTATCCCGTCAAGCCAGCGTTGTGTAGCCAGTTCCGCGCAGTCATCTCAACAGCAGTCGCTCTTCCGTAACATGTCTGTTCGTTAGAGGACAGTAGATGATACAACGCTCAACGTATGTTCTGTACCGCCGCGCGCTAACCGGAGATCGTCGTTAGTCAGAAGGTCTTCGAATAGCAGACGTGTAGACCGCCGCAGCAACAGCGCCACCACAACTACTAAGTGCCTACTTCTACAGCTACCAACAGTCTCAGTCGCAGCGGTAATAGCAACAGAAGCAACCAACACATAATCACCAGGAGATGCGACGCTGAATGCGCCGCAACACAAGCAGCTACGGTGCTGCCGCCACTCATTATGGAGCCATCTAAGCCATTGGCAGAGCGGTCACAATCACCAGTCTCTGGGGCTAGAAGTCGCAGACGTCAATGGCGAGTCGCCGGTAGACTACGAATCAGGACTGTTAGACGGAACAACAGCGACAAAACTAAGCACGGTTGGCACTTCATGAGTGTATTGGCAGGACACTCGATTTACGCTTATGGGAGAATACGGTCCACCGATCCATCGGATCGCGATTCAACTCCGACAAATTCCTCCGTCCCCTTCTTTTTCTTCATTTGGCTCTCGATAGACAGAGTGCCGGCAGTATTACATTATAATACCACGGCTGGAGTGGATTGGTCGAGCGATGCCTCTTATCACGTCGGTGTGATCGGCAAACAAACTAGCAAGTTAAGTGGACGATGCTCTGCCTTACGCTAGCGGTTACACGGGTTATTGTACATATAAAATTTAGAGTCGGCTACGGGGAAACCACAGGCGTTCGCGGCCTTTCTAGCAAAAGATCCGAGTGTCTACCGCATTGTGCAGTGGTTTCGGTTAGAGATGCAGCAGGAGCAGTGGCATCAGGTAGAACTAGAAGTATTCTTTCAGCAACTTTGGATGGTACGGACTACGATATGGCTGTGTACCTACTGTGGATATAATTTCAAATCAAAGTCTCTGATTTCCCGATGGTTCGGAGTGGTCATAAGCGGTGACGATGAGTGTATAATAATGCTAGCTCGGCTAATCGCTGCAACAGTCGCAGCCTTCTGAAGTCGCACATGGGGTGCCGCTATGTATTCGAGTATCTATCCACCTACCTCGCTTTATCTCCCCTCCCATATGTCCTTATCACTTCGATGATCTTAGCCAATCACAGACGAGCGCTAATAAACATGGCCAGTAGTAACAACTCTAATAAGATGAGAGCATTCAAATTGTAAGACTTTTTCAAAAGAGCATGCTTTTAGCTAAACCTCGCTTCCCCCTGGAAGGAAAGGGTTCTAGTGCAAGCTAGGTAATAGAATATGAAAGACGGGGGAACGGATCGAGGATGGTAAATGAGTTGGCTTGAGCTACTGTTTACATCCTTTGCTGTCAATATAATCGCATAGGCTAGATTTTACGGTGTGCTATGTATACGTATTACTGTTATGGTCGGGGAGTCTGTGTTGTGGGAAAAAATGATTTGACCAAATTTCCGACGTGGTTAAGGCCCACGCGGCAAACTGATTATCAGTGTTACATCACTGAACACCATTAAAAACATTACGAAAATGGGCAGCGGATCCTTGATATGAGAAGTTTACTCCGTCGTATTCATGGAAAATAGATTGCACACTGCTTGTTCTTCATGTCCAAGTGAGTGTCCTGTCGTAAGATGTACATGCCTACGGCGAGCTTTGAGCCCACGAGCTAATAGATACAGTGGCTTAATATCGCAGATTTCTTTTGTGTACTACTCTATTATTGTAGGTAATAGTATCGTTACTCCTAGCCAGTATCTCGGCGTAACAAGTCCCTTTCTAGTCCGCACCAATATTATATAATATACATTACTATTTCCAACCTGCACAACTGAGGTTTATACATTCATTCATACAATTGACTTACTGTCTGTGTCTAATTGTTAAGCATTACGCGACCTGTGTCCTGGTAGCTGCTTACAATTGGCCTTTTATTGCAATCGTGGTGCGATCATGGAAGCAACTGTCCTCGATATCGCGAGAAGGTAGCCGCGGCTCATCAATGCAGAGATACGGTCGTCTATAGGTTTAGAGCTGCTCACTTTGATCCCAACGGTCAAAAGCGTTTCCAGAGGCTCCATCGGGCTGTACGAGCGATCACGGATAGTTTTTGAAAACCGAAACAAAACAATAAAGCGTCAGGTTTTCCCCATTCAGACCTAATAAGAAATAGATAAGGAGGGAAAGATTCGGATATAAACAACGCTTCAGCGAAAATGTGGATGAACTTAGGCTCATAAATGGATATTAGTTCAAATAAACACCAGGGTTTTACAATTGATTTTAGTTTAGGTAAATTATAGTATAGATTGAATTATTTTTTACTAAATCATGTGAATTACCATCGTCTTCAAGTACTTACCACATTATTCAACTACACCGACGAAATAGCACAAATGTCTTGCTAGGGTCTATGGTGTTACTATGTTTTTTATCTAGTTCATCGCTATTGCCTAACAATCGGCAAAAAACCAATTTATTTATCATATACGAAACCTTTCATAGGCCGAATAGCTCATCAAACATCGATAAATAGGATTCAAAATGTGCTTGAGTAATATTGCGGTCATTGCACCCCGCATCAACAAACACACCCTGTATTGACTAATATCTCCTGATACCCTTCTCAAGCATTTTTTTTTTCAGTTATCGATCACCTCTATTTGCCATGCTGGCCATCAACTTCAACTGGCTTTGGGGCGCCGTCCAATTCAGCTGTGAGCAATAAAAACAAAAAAAAGCCTAGGACAACAGGGAAGTAACGGGAACCAACAAATCTTTGGTGGCCTTATCAAGACAGCATGTGATCCAGTTGCCAAATAACAGTTACATACACACACGCATTGAGTGATGTATACAAGCTACGAATAGAAACGTCATTGTCATTATTTCTAGCGTCGTCATCAGGTAGTCAGCCATCTCTTCATAGCCAATTGGTTGAATCGTATTCGGTAGCACGAAAGGAATGTTTCTTAATTTCGTTGAGGCTCCTCCTAGGCGGACGCCCCCCTTCACGGTTGGGCTTCATGGTGGATTTTTTCGGCTTTGGCTGACTTGATACCGTCGTTACCATTTTCATCATAATCTTCGTCTTGGTTAAAGCTTCTGTATGCTCTTAATTTGTGGCATCCGACGACGCCGTTACCTACGAGTGATAAACGTGACATGATTATACTTGATGATGTCTGAACGACCTCGCGTTAAACTTCGGCTACTAAATTCGCTGCACAAATAATATGGCAAATGGCTTTTTTTTTTTTTATTTTTGACTCAATGTGGCTATAAGTTTCCTAAACCTAACTTATTGTTAATCAGTTCTATAAACGTGTGTAGGTAGATATAATGCTGTTTTGATATAGGGCTCATTCCTAAATCCGCAGAAGATTTACTCCGTGAAGAAAATTGTAAGAAAATGAGATCCTTTTGAGAACGAAGTAGAAATCTGCTGCTCGACTGTAGCCTATCTGCTTGGTACAGCATACTCACATTGGATGCTCAAAGTAGGCAAATCGAAAGATTTTGCGTCCTTCTGTAGTCCATTGATTACATGTACTTCATTAACGGCCTTTATCTCCGGTAATGAAGCGTCACTGCCAACAGGACTCATACTGAAAACTCTATATGATCACATTTTTCCAGGTCGACCATGTCTTACTTATTTTTACGTCAGTGCAAATCTTTTGCAAGGACTAACAAATCAACAAACTCATCATCTTATACGACCTCGATAATCAATTTTTAATTACCGATCACTCCCTGTTATCTGTGCTGATCTTTACTTCCATCTATTCTCTTCTGCTACTTGCTGCGCGAGCACCAGCTCAGCATGTATTGAATAATCCATTAACCTATCGAATTTTTACTGCGCGTTATCAGCCTTCTTATTCTAGTCGTTCACCGCCATCATATCCGCAATCCACTCTATAGCAGTCAGTGATGATCGTCGCTTTTTGTTATTGTTTTGGATCTAACCTGACACGTCACTAATCAATGAGCTCTGATCGTATCAGGATTGATCAACGCTGTGTTGGTCCATTATGGTCAGAACCTCGTCTTGTGCTTTCCTGCTCTGTTATCTGAATAGCTTGCTATTTTCCCGGACTTGATTTGGATTGCTACCGCTGTCTGCTTGGTATGCCATAATGACAGCTTGATCGACCGACTCTGCTGCGTGTTAACAGCGCCACGCTCTGTTTTACCACTTCAACTCCGCCCAGCACCGTTCATCTTAACCAATAACTTGACGCCAATCACAAACTCCATTGCGCGGCGGCCACAATTCCGTAACGTTACCCCTTCCAAATCGTCGCATGTCTACGCCGCTTCAATCAGAAGCCGCGTCTTAGCGCTCGGCAACTCTAGCCCAGAAACTCCGTTCCTCGTAAATATCGGCTAGTAAACGATAGCCGAAAAAAACGAAAGGATCAGTGCTGAGATCTCTCTTACCTAAAACGTTTGCAGCTTCGAGCTTTTCGTAGTTTTCATTCCACTTCATCCTCGTACCCAATTATTCTCCACGCGCCGAGTACGTTTCTTTGTGTACTTCATGCAAAATAAGCCCGGCAAGCCAACACCGCGCCGCGTCTTTGCGACGCTGCCAAATTTAATCCGAAATAATTTAATCTACGTATTGGACCCTAGATGTTCCAGCATTTACCACTGTCCGAGATGAGACGAAGCATCTATATGGTGGCTGTATGCATCAGCAAACGTTGCTGAGTGGCACTCTAATAATTTGAAATATATTACTCGCGCCCCAGTCGTCCAGACAATGATTAACAATTTACAACTAATCATAATCACCTTGTTAATCCCACCTAACAGTAGCGCTTGAGCGGTGGTCACCAGCTGGCAGAATCATTCAGCCGATGATGATTTTTGATGGGAGCAGTTTTGCCTCTGGCAGATTTGAGTGCGCATAAATATTTTTTTGCCCACGAAGATAATGATGTTTCGCTACGCCCGCAATATCAATAAAGGTTACACGTGAACTGTATGCAATAAATGGGACGACAATTCATCAGCGGCTAGAACGTGATCAATCGAAATGGTACACGACTGGATAATTTCTCATAAAAATACAAACCTAGCGAAAATTGCCCAAAAAAAAAATAAAATAAAAAAGGAAAAAATGCAGCTGCTACATTAAACCATGCTCTAATCTTGTTTTTTTTTTTTTTTTTATTTTGTTCTGTTCAGGGAGTTTTCAATAGTATTCGATATGTAACTGAAGAAAGTCGACCGACTGACTGGTTCAGCATTCTCGTCTGAATGTGTTTGCTTCAATATTGTATTCTCCTAGCCTTTCAGACCTCTGGCTGCTTTTACTGTTTCAATTAAGTGATGCTGAATTAAGCCGGCACAGTTAATCTTATCTTCAACAGGCAAATGTCCTACCAACCTTTGCTTGAAAATTTGTAAATAAATGCGTATGCACCACCAGATTAACTGAAACTTTGGAACCTAACCCAACAGCTTACTATTCTGTACCAACTGAGGTATTGCACGTCCTTGAGTGAAAACGAATCCTGTACGTCCCTCACACGCAGTCCCTGTCTTTCTGCCGGCCTGCTTGAGACAGTCGTACGTGATTGCAGGTAATCAAGCGTCCTCTGCTTGGGATGTCATCAGCTTTGAAATCGGATGTCTCATGCCTCCATGACGACATGGAAAATCAGCCAAGAACAAACGTTCACTCGTAATAAGATATCCGGCCTAGAAGGAACAGTAACAGACGCCTAACCCCCAATTTGTCGATGACTCTGTACAGCCGGCTGGCAATCAGGCAGACCTGCTCTTTTTTGTGAAGCTGTTGAAGGCTTCTTTTGAAGCGACGCCCGATCTCAAAACGCGACAAAGACTATCTCGCCCGCGCCACGCAAATCACTCTTCCGCTCTTCGCCGACCGCCCTGTGTGCACGAGGGGACGGCATCATGCAAGGGCTTCGTCAAGACGTCGGATACCAATAAGGGATCGAGAGGACCGTCTGCCTATCGATGGAGGAGCTTAAGTCAAGTCGGCTACAGAAGAGAGACGCAGAGACCATGGCCACTGCGGTCTTCCGATCCGGCGGCAACTCAGAAAAGTATCGCATTATAGGTAGAATTCACCTTGGTGATATTTGCAACATCGTCCTTATCGGCTAACATCATACGAACTAGATGCAACAACTTACAGACTAAGCGCCATCAGAACTGGCAACATCAACAAATGTGAGGATCACAAACGCCGCAAAAGCAGCAGCAACGGCAACCGCAGCGGGTCGTAGCCCACTCTCAGTCACCTGCGACTACTGCATCACTGGGTCGCAGTTGGACAGGACACACACACACGCGCAGACCGGACGAAAACGCAGAGAGATACTCACCTAAACAGAGTTATATACACACCTCTCAATGAGCGAGTGCGAGTTCCAGGAACTACCCCAGATGAGTCAACGAATGCCGTCGCGTTGTTGCTCATCAATAGCAACAGCATCTTCGCGTATCATCAACATTCAGCATCGACAACATCCTTAAATCATCATCGAATCCACGTACAGAGCCGGACGCCCAACCAAGAAAGCCACAAGATCATCAGACGATCGACGGCATGACCCGAAGTCGAACTGATGGTCATCTGTCGAGGTCCGAGCTCCAAGCTCCTCCTGAACGACAGCTCGAACCAATATGAAAAAACCGTCAAAAACAAAAAGAAAAGTCATAGAAAAAAGGGCGTTAAGAGACGTTCGCGAACATATCCATCGGTACCATACAAAAGCATGGAGTATAGCTTGAGGCCCAAATTTATGGGCGAAGCGAACCCGTTCCTGCACGCCTATTTACATCAACTCGCGATATCCTCATCGAGACTCCGGGAGATACTCATAAGATTCATGATATGGTCACAGCGTAGAGAAATCATGAAGAAGAAGCCGGTGAAAGGCACAAAGAGGTACGAGAGGTTAATTCCAAGGGACATTTTCAGCGGCCGATACCTACTCAGGTGCTGATTGTGTATCAGATCGTGCTGATCATGATGAAATTATTTGCACGCACGAGGGTCGTCGGCGATCAGGACACTGGATGTCAGCAGGCAAGACAAATACATACATAAACGAACGCAGCCATTGTCAACCGATAGCTTTCGAGTATCCACGTGAAGTATTAATACAGTTGTAGAATAATGATTATATCCATTCTGTTCATCTATATACATAAACTATAAAGAAAGCATTTCCTCAGAACAATGCGAAAGCGCCGCAAAATCAAAAAAAAAAAAAATACGAAAGCTTTATCGGACAACTGTTTGACTAATTATGCTTAGATAATAAATAAGAAACAATTAAAATTTAATGAAGACACACGATAATTACGCACTGTATAATGATCATATTACTATGAATCGGCTTTAAGAAAATTTTAATCAATTTTGAATTGAAATGAAAAATCACGATGTTTAATATATGGAGCTGTTGTGAGGAAGCAGCAAAAAGTTGGTCACCAAAGGACCCTATTGCAGCTCCGCCAGCATCGTCAATCTAGCCTGTGACACGTGGCAGAGCAAGGACAATCCATTCAAAAGTGTTTGCGTCACACCGGTCACAACCAACTACAGTTCGGTGCCATTATCGATTCTCAAGGACCTATGGCCTTAAGGACTGGCGGCAGATGCGTCCTTGTGGTGGATGATACGGAACCAGTTTGGGTTCATCTATTTGAGTCCTATGCCGCCTCATGTCGTGTATAGTAGATAACTTTACAGACATTCTTTATTCGTTTACTTTGGATTAGAAACTCAAACGGCGGTAAAAGCAGTGATTTTAATTGAGCTGAAAGTCAAAGCGGAAAAGTTCAAAAACATAGTTATTAAGTATATCGGCACAGCCGCTTTATCTACGTACTAAGTAATTTTATCAAGAAACGCTTACTTTGTAAGCTGGTGGACGAGAACAATAGTCGCACGGCATAGAAAACGATCTAGAATCAGTTAGCAGTCAGGTAAGAACTGGCACAGCTGATTATTATAAATAGTCCTAGTTCAGCGGTAATACGTTTATGATTCGCTGAAAAAACGTGGCTTTTCAACTCTTTCTATTAAATCAGATCGAAGCCATCTTTATTCTCGTGTGTTATCGGTGTTAACGATGTCATCACCATGGAAAAGACGCTGGAACTTTGGAGCACAACGCTGACGTTGGCCATTCAGCTTTCCCTATGGCTCGCATAATGAGGTTCGGTAGTAGCGATCAGTTGAGCAATAGCGTAATCGCTAAGGTGCCAGGCTATTGCTAAGGATTGGCGGTGGCGAGTTCCCATTAAGTCACACATTATACGCAAATCCGGTTATAACACAAGCACGTATAAAGCTCCACCAGTACACACAGATAATAATTATACGGACAGACGTTCACAGTACCCCAACTAACTTCACTAAGATACGATGCATGCAGGCCTTCGGAGTCTCGTCCTTTCAACGTAACTCTTCCAGGAACTCGGCGGCGAGCAATGACGCAAGATAGGCCCACACATATATCACACATCAGCCAAGCTCACCTCTTCATATAACTTTTCCCATATACCGCCACGGACTATGTAGAACTTCAAAAGGTCCTGCCTCTTCCGGTCTGACTTCGAACACTTACTATGCTTGGCAGAAAGGGGTTTGCGCTACACTTCAAAGAGCTGATCAGCCTACCGAGACCAGCCAAGCGGGGCTGGCACAGCTCATCGTTCTACTAACAAAGTGTTAATTGCATGTCCGGCCGGTGAATTCGTATTCGAACACCCGACATCCGGCCAGTCAGTCTTCGTAATGCGAACGGATGAAGGCTTCGCGACGGCAAACTTCCTGCCTAAATCGTAAAGTCTGGAAGCTTTGAAAAACAACAGCTTTCTATTATCTTCTAATTTGGAGTTAGTCTGAGATTGGGATTTATGTTGAAACAACGTTAGTTTCCGATTTGATCGGATTATGTCCTGGAGTAGCTAAGGCTAAAAAGTAGTATTATGAAGAAAATGTGAGTAATTCAGTATCATAATGCAGTTTACAGTTGGGGGTTGTTGTCACGTGTTTGATAAAAGCATTTGTGAAAATCCCAATTTCAGTTACAATTTTACTCGTATTTATGTTTCTGAAGATTTCGAGAAACGACTGGCCGAGCTACTGGACCCTTGGAGATAATCCTGAATCAGCTCGTAAATTGATTTATTTTCATGACTCGCGGACCGTCTGCGCGGCAAACGTACCTTCTTATACTTGCCGGCTCGAAGGAGTTATCAATAGATCGGTCCTCGCGTATCGTAGCACCGAATTGGACAAGCAGTCAATACATTGCGACAGTCTATCGGTAGCTTGTGGTCAGAACGTTGCATGAGTATAAGAAAAGCCTCAGTCTACGCCAAATACTTTCTCTAGTTAAAAAAATACGCCATTATTATTATTATTACTTTCAAACCTCATACACGTGGCAAACGGTCGCGGGACGATTTAAGCAGAAAGAGACACTATTAAAACAGGTGGGCAATTCAAGCGAGGTGGCCACAGGATCATATGGCGACCCATAATTAACGAGATGGACAACGAATTCTGCGAACGCATCGAATTCAAACGAGGTAAAGGTGGAGAGGACGCTATTGCTACTATGTAATCAGACTTGTAGCTATTTGTCCAACGCTTTGGCAGAACCTCAGTTCTGTCAATCGCGCTCACTGGAACGGTCAGTAGCGAGCGCAGTGAGCAAACTACCCAATAGGGGCTGGAGCACCGACAGCGGCGAAGGGCTACAGTAGAAACCTACAACTACGGGGTCCCCCGACTCAGGCAGAGCAACTCAAAGGTTGAAAGGAAAACAGGTACTCTTATAAAAGACAACAGTAACAGCCGCAGGGAAGTCAAGGAAGCCAAGTCGAACTACAAATCAACAAACAGCCTCACTAGCGGCGCGACGGCATGACGAATGTTATCGAGGTGAACCTGTGGCGAAGCTTGAGATTCGACGGTTCCACATTGACGGTCCCAGCAGCACGGCCACTTTCGATTGAAGTTCCGGTTTAATGAAGACCCGTTCATGGTAGACAGATCTTACAATGACTAAATGTCTGAGCACACTGCTAGCCTTTGAACGAATCAAGAAACTAAACATTTGTGACAATAACATCATGGCTGCTATCACAGCTACGGGCAGTTGCCGAACAACATCAGAGTCTTTTACACATCCATATGACACCTTGAGGCTCCCGCAAAACAAACTTCAGATCGGGATTTATAGACGAGAGAACTGTATAGAATATAAATTGTAAATTTAATAGGGCGGCCCAGCGCTCATATCAACGTCTGGTTGGCAAAAGCTAGATTTGCTGAAAACGAGATGCAACACCCTGCACAGTGGGAACTGCTATTGAGGCAGTTCGAAAGTAACTTACCCAAGCAGCACATGGATTGTGGTACGGTGGCGAGTAATTTAATTATGAGAACCAGAAGTTTGAAATCGATAGTTATCATTTGGCAACTTGTATGAGTACTACCCTCAGATCGATAACAACGGTTCCCTCCTTTCGCATAGACACCCAGAAAAATATTGAACTCATAAATTTTAGAGTATTCTGATCAGGACCCAGTCACTTTAATTTTTCCGAAAAGTGAGCATGAACTCTTCGAACGCGAAAAGCACGCCTAACTGAGCAGCGTCTAACAGTGACGAACTACAAAACTTAATCATTTCGTTATGACAACTTATTTCGATATGATTTCCGCGCATAAGTTCGACGCTATGCAAATAGGACCAAACGAGGTAGAGATGCTTAGCTGTAGGGTTTTAAAGGCGGAATTAAAAGAAAATAGAAATTGTCAGTGGAATAGAATATGCCTTTTAGATAACACTTTGTAGTATACGAACCCAATACATAATAGGCGGCTTGTGGAAAATGCTTTCTAGATAGAAAATGTCGCATATATGTGCCTGTATAATTCATAATGCCGAATCAAATCGCTGAAAACTAAATAAAATAAATTAGTTATTCCTGAAATGTCTAGTGATAGCCTGTAAAGTCATATGTGTTCTTGGCCGGCACGTTTGATTACTGCTGACTTAAAGTGATATTATAAGGTCACACGAGAAAATTCGTCTCCTGTCCTATGTCACGTTTCGGGATTTTTTTTTCTCTATCAAACGTTATGAAATTCAGGTCCTTACCGAAAACTCAACACGTGGTGCTCGTGCACCTGGTGTGCTGGCATGAAAAGCTGTCAGGCGAACGGCTTATAAAATTTTACGCACGAAACCCATATTCTTTTTACGCGATATGATTTCCGCGGGGGTGATGACATAAGTTTGGTCGACTAGATCTGCAAAGATCCGCGATACTGTCAAAAAGAAGAAGCAAATTAGATGTCACATTTGTACTATACTCGTAATATAATTACTAATTCTTCTCCCAGCAATGAGTGTACATTGTCATACGTTAGGTACTAAGCAGGGTATTCGTTACCAACGACTCTGAAGCATACAATCAACAAGCCACGTAAACGGCACGGATACGACGCCCGATTCTTTTGTGCACGAGTATCTCAAGACAATTGGCGAACGTTGGTATGATACTGAAGCGGAAAACTTTACACGCAATTCGCACGCAAACCCTGAAGATTTGAATGATAGCTTAGTCTCAGCAGATTGCATCCCTTCGAAACGCATGTGACGGCATAGTAAGAAGAATATATGCAATACGTTCATTATTTAATTAGTCTTCAATAGAACATCCGGCTCAGGCCAACATGCCGGTTCGGTCGTCAGCATCTGAAACATTATAAATTACGAATCCTCAACCCAGGTTTCCTAAATCTTCGCGTCTATTTGCACCTTCATCATTTTATGTAAAATCATCTACTATATTAACGTGTCGTTAGCATCGGAATCTTTCTAGGCCATACATTTGCTATCAAACCTGCGTTAAAGCCATTTGACTTCAATGACGACGGTCATGGTATCTGTTGTTGGCCTGCGGTCACGCCTGAGAGATCGCCACAGGCGCGGCAAAACAGTCGTAAGGGCGCCGCGATGTCTCGGCGACAAAAACCTGACGACGAAAGAAGTATCCATCATTGCCGGTGTACGTATTTGGTCGATTTTGATGGGACAGAGGTAGTCTGGGCTGGGTACGCCCACCTATACCGCGGCTAGGAGCGGCACAAAAATCATCACCAAGTCAAGAAACAAACTCCGCACAAGGGCGCTCTTATGATTCGCGCGTTTGACGCGAATCACTGCATCTATTAGATACGTGCAGATGGATGCTGTACAGTTCCATGGCGGCCATGGCTGGCGCGGAGCGGTTATCGTCTGAGCAGCTATGCACAAACAACGTTCAGATTGGTCAGCGGACTACGAGAACATTTGGCCACGGCGACCATTCGATGACACAGTATCGTGTCGCTAACCGTATGCAGATGACCTTATCATGCAAATGAAGATGGTCGATACAATCTGCCGATTAGATGCGAGCCGCCAGCCGAGAACGATTTGACTAAAGAGAACAGGTACGTACACTTACTTTTCACCTTATTTCTCATTCCGTAAGTTTTTCTCCGTCCCGCCACCTACTTCCTTGTCGAACTTTCCCGAGGATGAAACGCGGAACTGCCGCGACTGTCAGCGACAACCTGCCGACAGGAGTCATGCCGATAGTTTTGGCGTACAATAATGAGACGTCGGCATAGCGCTGTAGTCGAGGGCAAACGAACTTGGCCGTTGCCGTACGTAATGAGGAAATATCAACCTGTTGTTTAGTGAGCGGCACAGGTCCAAATTAGTTACGATTGAAAGAGGAAACACTAACGCGACGACGATTGCCGCGGCTACGCTCGTGCAAGTCGATACGATCTGCGGGTACTTCGTATACGACAGGTTCGATACGTGAACGTATTGGATTGAAACACTTATATGCCGATATCTGAGTAAAAACCAGATAGCGTGCAAGAGCCTCTAATTAAATTGCTGATATTTCGACGATGCTGTACTGTCTGGGTCTCTGTCATTGCCTGCGGACCTCGATAGCTGTGAGACAATATATTTGTTATGCCCTATCAGTTGTCGCATATCTACAAATGTATATGCAGAGAGGGTTTACATATTAACAGCGCGTCTCAAGTGCAACCCTCAGAGCAAAAAACGAGGCTTTAAGCGACTGACAAATAACATTAACGAACTTTTAGGCTATTGCAAAATATTCAAAACCCTACGAAAGCCTTACGGGCTCGAATTAATTTACAAAGATACAGGCTAATTGCCACATTTGGGTACGCTGGACGCGTTAGCGTCCATACATTTATGTACGTGTCGATTTCTGTATGTTAACTTCTATCCCCAGACATCCGCAGAAATTCTACACAGGATCGCATTCAACCACTAGGTAGGATCAAAACGTAGTCGAAGCTTTACGTGTAGCTATGACAGGCGAGATCGACCTACTGCGTTCGATAACTATATTGAAAAATTTCATACGGATGAATGAAGACCTGCTAATGTTTAGGACAGTAACTAGGATCCCCGGTGAACGTGCTACTTCTCTCTATTGAGATTGCAAAGCAATTTCAAAAATAAAGTAATGAGCAATCGAAGATTTTCAATTTAGTTTCTTAACAAGCATCCAGGACGGCAGATCCTTATCCTTGCTACCAAGGAGATCTTGTTCCAGTGATAAATAGGAGTTTCAAATATGCATATAGTTAGCAGAAAACCGCTCAACAGTGTTACGAGCTAAAACACTGAATAAACACCCTTAAGCTTTTATGCAATTTCAACAATACATGAATTTGCCCCTAACCTGAGTCTAGATGGCCGAGTGGCTTTTCCGTAAAACTTTAGGCCTAGGCCATGGGCCTGTTCCTAGGCGAACATGAAGCAAATATACTTTTGAATGCTATGGGAAAAATGTGCGTATTTGTTATGGGCTCTGTCAAATGAAGATGATTCACTCAGTTCCTAGTGCTACCTATACTGAGTGCATGGCCTAAATGAAATCATCGCGGCTTGCCTGATCTCGAACGTAACAAGCATTGGGAGCGTATACACACGTTAGGGTTATGCCATCAGGGTTGTGCCACGTAGCTACTGAGGTAGTCTTTGAAAACACTATACTTTCGTCAGCTTCGAATTGCCCTATTGGCATAGAGTCTCAGGAAAGCAGCTTAATTAAAATGCCTACCAAAAACATACGATGCTCTCCACTGAAAGATAGTGTTATAATAATGGAAAAGTCGGAACGTATAGATGTAGCATTCCGTATCTAGTCTTCTTTCGGACACAGCCACAGCTCATGAAGATGATGTTAAATAAAAGCATTGAATTTGTTTAATTACAAATCAAAACTGAGATAATTATTATGCAACATGTTGCAATTGATCTGGTCAGTGGCATTAAGCATGGCTTCAACTATACGGCTCGACATTATCCTTACGTGTTCAGACTATATGCTGTCCATGTTATTTAGTAAAATGTATTACTTGTATATAATTATTGAATAGAATTTGTTTGAATTTTGACATCGTTCTATATTAAATGCGAAACCAAAATCAGGTGCACGTGCTGTGACAGTGATTCATACAGACAATATAGAGATGTATTACTTTCGGCACAATTGGAGGGCCGAAAGCCTTTTTGTATAGCAACTCTTAATGAATAATACCAGCTTTAATTTACTATTTCGATTTTTGATGGGCTACGGCACGTAGCTACAGCAACATACTGGTATGTACAGCACGTACCGTATTAGTTTCACCCACCCAGTACTATCGCACACAGTACGAGAGTGGCTAAAATGTAACGGCTCCGACTGACCGTTTTTGATTAATTTGATAATAAAACGCGCCTTTAATCGAAATGTTCGAAAGGTCTTAGGGCGGGCGCACTAACCTAAAAAACTAGGTGAATAAGCTAGTCTTGCAGCATTTGTGTTTTGTATAGGTAATTGGACGTCAAGAGTAGCTTCGATTTGCCTTATGCATTGTTTTGGCATTCGGTAAATATCAACAACGATGTTTGATATGGCCCTCCACATATTGAAATTTCACATTAAAATAAGAACACTTATTTTTTTTTATTAAAAAGACGAATAATCGTTGAACTGAAGATGTTCTTTCCTAGAACGAAAAAATCAGATCCGCATCGTCCTTCAATCTTTGATGATGACACAAATATTTCAGCTTATACGTCTGGCGGTGAATTTCGTTTCAGACCCAGCACAAAACCAGATGTTTCTGCGCCTGGCTTCGAATCTAGGCCTTTACGTGTTCCTGAGCTTAGTTGGCGAACACGCTTTTTACTGCAGTATCACGGGACACAGGTTTATGATGACAGATACAGATGACATTACTTCTCCTCATATAAACAAATTCCTTCGATCTTGCCTAGTTTAAGGAATATTATTGATCTGAAGAACATAAGCTTCATTTTGGAGAAGAAGCGTAACGCCAGAATTAAAATACGTTTATGTTATGGATACATCAGAAGAGTGCTTAGCAGCCCTCTAGACACCCGGACGACCAGAACTATGCCAGATATCTATTGTCGATAAGCGATTCTGATGATAATGATGGACCTAGTAATTTAAGTTTAAGAATTTAGCGTGTACTGGCGTAACTTCATCTGATACGATACTTTTAACGCTTTGAGTCGGACGGGACTATGTGAAAATGATATAAAAACAAATTTCATCTCGTGTACGATGTGCTCTTAATCATTCGATGTAAACACACTCTATTTTGGATTAGGATTGCTGACTGCTAATGATGAAAATGGTGGCGAGGAGTCTCGTAAAGGAGTGTTGGCTTCAAGATAATTACAGTATCGGCATGATATGCATGAGCTAGTGGCAATGTAATTGAAAAAATCGGGATGAGAAATCGTGGCCTGAGCTGCGATACGAAACAGTTTCTACTGTTGTCGCCTTACCGATCATGCCATGTCGCTACCTGAAAATTCTGGCCCGCCTTCTGTCAAATCCTTAACATAAGTATTCGTAGTTGCAGTGTAACATGCTTATGCTAAACATCTAAAGATCAATTTGGAGTCGGCTTTAATCATCCGACTGAAAAATCTAGAACAAAGCGCGGGTCGAACAATAAACCGAAACGCAACTTGTGCGAGAATTCAAAATGTCTATTATTAGGAAACATATGGAAACGAGTTTCACATAAGAGTGATACTGAACGAACTTGACGCGGGACGTGCCAGTGAAAACAAACGAAGTTAGCATTGTTTTCTGTTGAAAAGTTTCTGTAATCGTTGATAGATCAGCACTAGTTTGTTGCCTCTAGGTGTTTTGTCATGCCATATCTTATTTTCGGCCATGATTGTTGCGTAATGGATGCTGGCTTTGAAGGTGAGTCGATTAACTCTAACTATGCCATCTATCATGCACTACATGACAGCAGTGGAAAACAACGTTAAATCTCATGGCGAACAATTGCTTTTCCTAGTAATTAATATTGCAGTATTGTCAAACGGCCAGCAAACAAAGCGAACTTGACAAATCTATAAGTGTAGCAAACAGCATTACTAGATATGTAAACGACAAAAAAAAAACAAAAGAATCAGCCCATTTGGAGCCTTGGCCAGGTTCTATTCATGTTCTTGCTGTACGACTCATTTTTGATAAGTCGACGCCTTAGAATGCCGCTCATGTCTATCTGCTTGTCACACTATTTAGCTCATTTGGTCCCATAGACCCTGACCAAAGTAGGCCACACTTATGAGCTGATTTGACTCAAACTGAAAGAAAAATGAATACTCCCAAATTATGCTTTATACAATAATAATAAATATGTTGCTTGATTTCGTAATATTAATACTTTACTCGAGACCGGAAAATTCAAATACCGTTGAACTACTTACTATGTACAATTTTAGAAGTAATGAATAGTTTACGTTCAATTACCGTAGCCTCGAAGCATTTTGCCTTGCCTGTAGAAGTGATGTTTCAACACGTTGCTCTTAGTAATTTGTCTCGCTTACAGCGCTTTGCTTTCAGAGACACACAACCGCGAACATACACAAATTGGATTCCTCTGATGTAGAATGACTTACTTTTGAGCTGGTGGTACAATCAGGATCGTATATCAGAGTTATTTTAACTCTAACGAAATTTAACTTTCTGCATTTCATTACTACTTCCTTCCCATATTTTCCAAATATTAAATAGCCATTTATTTCTAACACTATAAATATAGAGAGTAAATAGGTAAGAAGGTATTGGCCCTAGATACTCTTGCCGAAGGACTTTTGCCTTTCGAAGTGAGAATTTACCGTACTTAATTTGCGATCTACGAGACGGCAAGTCGCCTTTCCACTTAGTTTCAACAGGCCACGTCTCTTGCTTGAATATTGGCGCCAGACGATCCCTTGTGGTCCACCATCTTGGCGGGCTTCTCGTTTGACTGTCTGCTATACGCTGAACTGACTCATTCAGTCACTTTCCCGATGTCAACTAAAGACAGCGTTCGATTAGCTGGCCGGCCTTCCTTTGCTGATAACATTATGGAATAGTGCGTGCATAACGTGCCCCGCACCGTTAGGTGCTTAGAGTCTATCAAAATGAAGTGAGTACCAAATGTTAGTTAATGATACAGTGTGGTTTCGTAGAGAAAACGAATTCACTTGGTAGTACGGTCCAATTTAGGCTTACCTGCGTCAAGCACGCAGGGTATTGATGGAGTTGCATGCATAGCAGCCCATGTTTTGATGTATGATTGGCTGAGTGAACGTTTTCACGCTGCTCCTCTAATGAAGGGTGCGTATTGGTGCCTGATGTTTTGGAGCTACTCCAGTAAAGATCTACTGTCCTTAAGCGCTGCTTTAGACGATTGGCTCGTTCCAACACCAGACGGAATGTGCCAACGCTCGCCTGCTTCCAACCTCTGTTACCTTTAATAGAAGAGTACTGCTAAGTAAAACCGGCTCCTCTTGTAGATTACATCCGTTCTATTATAGTGGAGGACGTGCGGCTTTTAGCTTACGCGACAACGGGATAGCGCAGGGCATGTTTGGGCAGATGGTTTCCGTGGTTCCCTAATGGGTTAAAATATCCTTTTCGTATACTTGTCGTGTATTCTCGTCTTCTCACAAATATCTGTTGGTGTTGAGCATTTTAGTTATACATTTGATAATTAAATATAGCTGATTAAGAGCTAGCTGTACGAAGGCTTTCGTTGGAGAAACTGAGATTTCAATGAGCTGAGTAATTGACAATGTATTCCGTTGCATCCAACTACATGGCGAAACAAGGTGCATCATATTTGAAAATAGCTCTGATGGAAAACATGGTTCAAATACACGTTACATTGATGATTCCGTTATTATAACAGTGGAATTCCTTGAACAAAAATGATGAAATGCTTAGTTTCGTGTTGCCCATAACTAGTGCTCTTTAATTACTTGCTAATATATAACGGTATATCGTTCGTCTACATAGCTTCTTGCTTGTCGTTCAGCAGATCCCTTTGTAATTGCCTTTACCAATACTACTGCATTACAATGATAGATTTCAACTAGCTAACCGATTGATGAGCTAGCCTTCAACACAAAGCCTGCTACCAGCTATCTGATGTGATTGTAAAGGCAGAATATTTTCTCTCTTGCACGATGACCCATTATGTATTCTTATTTATTTATCTCAACACGGAATTACGACGTTTCAAACGAATTGTTACTGTCTATAGCGGCAAATGTCAGCGTATGGTTCGGTTCAAATCGTTGCCTGGTGTTTTATTCGCTACACATCGACTGGCGGGAAAAATAAACCGATAAAATAGGAGGAAGGGTCTTTGTATAAACTCGTTTATTATTATCATCCCGATTATCTAATCAAACTTAGTGAGTAGTCAAACTCGGGTGCCAAAAGGGATAAGATTGACGCATGCCGCCATCATCTACTTCCACTAGAACTTGCCGCCGTTTTAGCTCAATATAGAAGTCTTTATGAGGTTGTCTCCAGCTCGTTGTGCTTCAAACGTCTTCCTGTTCTAGGTATAACAGTATAATATATCAACGACCATTCCCGGACGGGCTCATGGTATCTTAAGCAATCTGCATACTGGCCTCTCTAGCATGCCTACTACTACTTGGTTCTTTGGCGAACACGAATCGTATTATGATTACAGTGATCGACGTTCCTGTTTTATACATGCCAACACGCTTGGGGTGACCATATTTATTCAGTCACTATATATATACATATACATATATATATATATATATATATATATATATATATATATATATATTAGGAGTTTTAAAAAATATATGTAATTCGAGTGCTGAGATTTTTATTTGCAGAGAAATTGAAACTTCAAAATGATTCTCATTTCTTGTCAATACACTGTTTATAAAGGTGGGTAATCGATTTTTAAAGTCAATTGCGGTTTTTAGACCTTTCAATGTCACTAATTTTCTGGCATAGACTTTGAGGTTTCCTAACAGCGAAAAGATCCAATAGTCTTAGTTTAGCTATCAGTAACTTTAAGTACTGTGCACAGATCATTGTATTAGCAAAAAATCATACAATTAAATAAGTATAATTTTTTGGGAGACGTATTGGGACACTATATAT